CATAATCTTTCTATTGGAAATTGCCATGTTGCCCATGCTGGACCAGTTTCATAAATTGATTCTGCAATATGTAAAAGTTAATAAAAACTAATAAGAGTTGCCTGTAAACATTCAGATTTTTTTTGATAATATTGTCTAAAAAATAAATTAATTAAATTTACAAAAATATTATTTTATAAAATTATGTTTTAAAAACTTACTGTTTATAATGTTTAATAAAGGATATTTTTAATTTGCACCACTAGTAAACTTTAACTAGATGGTTATAAATAATCACTGATTAGTTATAACTAGTGATTATTTATAATCACTATAAATATTATATAATATAAATTTAACTGCGGCTATTATAATTCATAGATAATATAATTTGTATTGCTTCGCTAATATTTAGTAACACCTATAGGGTAAGCGAAGCAAGCCCTATAGTCGCTTTTCTAATAACTTAATATATAGTACTTTATTTTATTTAAATATATTTAATAAGACTAATCACTCACTTATAGTAAATAATTAAAGTTTTAGTAGTTTATATTGCAACTAAAGCTCAATAGTCAGCACCCTAACTCTAACATTTTAAGTTGCACAACTTTATTAATAGTACAACATTATTAATATACATCCTAACTCTAACATTTCAGGCAGCACAATTTTATTAATACTGTATGCACTCTAATCCTAACATTTTAAAGTTTATATTGCAATATCTATCATAATTTACTATGTATCAATGCTAATTAAAGTTTACTTTTTCTGTTGTAACAATTTATATGAGCGAATATTATGTTCTTGCATATGACAATTAGAACAAGTATATCTATGCTTAAAACTTCCTTCTTGATTTGAATTCTCATTAATAGTTCATAATGGTCTTTTGCTTTCCAATTCTAATACACTTTTTTGCTTTAAACTTGGTTGACCTTTAGTTTGTATAACTTTTGGATTAGTAACTTGAATAGTATTTTCTTGGTTATTTTCTTGATCATCTTCTTGATCAACTTCTTGATCATCTTCTTGATTATCTTCTTGATCATCTTCTTGAATATTTTCTTGATTATTATTATTTTGATCTAATATTTCATTTATATTTGATTTAGAAGTTGTAAATAAGTCTTTTGAAATCTTTCTTTTTTGTTGAATAAACTGATAGCACCAATTATTTACTTCTTCATTTGTTTCAGTTTCTATTGCTAAAGCTAAAACTGATTGAAATAAACTATAACTTTTACTATAACGTATTCGATCTTGAAGAAACTTTTTATTTGGCATTTTAGATCCTAAAGCTTTACTTATAAGAGTAAGTTTTTCAAATTGATTAGGTAAAATAGGTTGATCGGATAAAGTAGGTGCAGATATAATTGCAGATGCAGATTTATTATAATGTGGTCAAATTGCTAAAATATTATCAAAGCTTTTTTCTGGTTCATTAAGATAAATATCTTTATACTATCATTGCATTATAAATGAAATATGAAAAATAGCTGTACTTGATTCTAAAAAAACAGCAAAATAATGTCAATATAGAATTCCATAGCAAATAGGCCAAGTACATATGCATAAAAATGATCCATCATAAAATAAGATAATATAGTGAACATTTGTTGAACCTGTAAGTCTAACAATACGCCAAGTTTCTTTAATACTATCATGTGATATATTATGTAAAAGTGAATTAAGATGAATTTGTTGTGAATCATAATCATCTTCAATGCAAGTATTTGTAAAATCTGGTTCACTGGCACAATGTTCTTCTAAAATATTAAATAAAGAACATCGATACCAAAGTGCTTGTTGAGTTTGTTGCTTTATTTTAGCAATTATATGAGGTGTAAGATATTTTTCACATAATGCAATAATTTCAAAGAACAATATTTGACTTATTGATTATGATCCACAATTATTAAAAGTTAAAGTTTCCTAAGAACGACTATATCTATTTTCTTGATCAAGTTGTTCTTGAATTGTATTATATAACTTGATTAAATTTGATGATTGATTAACACATTTCTTACTAATGTTATTATAACATTTTACACATTGGGTACTTTGAATACCAGTGTTAAAGATCTGTGTTGTAAAACAGCGAGCCCAACTTTTTTTTAATTAATAAAGTTTTTTTAAGTAACACTCTATATTAGGATATATTTCAATTAGCTGCTGATATCTACTTTCGAATACAGATACTTGTAGTGCATTCCGTGCAGCATAAAAGCTATTCATAAACTGATTATACTGTTTACCAAGCTTTGATCAAGCCCTTTTTTTAATATTGTTACCAATGTGAAATATATAAAAATAGTAGTAAGCTAATAGACAAATTGTAGAAATTGCTGCAGCTATTGTTTAATCTGAATCAGAAAAAATAACTCCAGGTTTGTAAGCAGTATTTTTTTTTTTAAGGCATGTAAAAAGCCAATTAAAAGAGTCCATGGATTCATCCGGCAATAATGCTTGAGCAACTAATCTGCTTCTTGTATTATTATCAACTATAATTATTAAAGCTAATGGTCATTGATATTGGTTAGTTTTACATGTTGTATCCAATAAACAAACATCATTAAATCTTGACATTAGCTGCACTTGTTCATCTGATTGCCAGAAAATACCTCTAAGTTCATTATCAACATCACCAATAACAGGCTCAACTACACAACTAGGGTCCAATGTTTTTGTCGTAAAAGGTAATTCAATAAATCAGCTTCATCATTTTTAAGTCTTTAATTTGTACCTTTTAATCGACTTATTATATTATAAATATTTCGTGGCTTAATAGGATGATTAGGATATTTATTTTTGAGTAAGTTAATTATTTTACTAGGTTGAATATTACATTTGTAGTATAGTTCAACTTTATTAATCATTTCATCAGTTAATCAGTAATATCTTGGAGAATTACTTTTGATATTACTATCCATTATATAACTGTGAACTGTATCATTATCAAATAAAGAACAGCAAATTTCTGTTGCTGTATTACCAATTAAAAAATTACAATGCCATTTACAATTTGTAACTACTGCTTCACAATTATGTTGATCATCACAGGATCTATTTTTTTTTAGGTTGCCATTGTTCAGAAAATAACATATCCAAGTTGCATTCCATACCAACCCATCATTATGTGTATGAGTACGTCCCTTCCTAACTACAAATCTACGTTCCATCGCATATCTGTCAAGTTTTCTTCCAATTTTTTAAAAGTATCATCAACACGTATATAATATAAATATTTATGCTGATTGTCAATATCTATACTATCACTTTCAGAATCTGACAATTCAAACAAATTTAAATATTCGATTTGAAGTTGTGAGTAGTAGTCATCTTGTTGATCATCAAACATAGGTTCTGTAAAGGTTGGTAAGTCTATATTTATAAGATTTAATTCAGAGTGATAATTATGCTCCTAAAAAGAAAAAGAATTTATAGTCATTAAATTTAATACTACAAAAATAACATCACCTACAATGTATCGAATTAAAAAAAATTGATATGTCAAGTGGCATCAAAGTATACCATTTGATATATCAATTTTTTTTTTTAATTCGAATTGCATTAAAATTTAACTAACCAAAGGTAGCCCACTTCTAAGAAAATCAGACAAACTGGTAACAGCACTTGCAAGTGTATCATTCACAGACCAATAAGTCTTAAATAATATTAAATTTGTATAAGAAATGCTTGTTATCTTCATTAACCACATTATTATCTAACTATCGACTAATCTGATATGGGTTTAAATTAGTGCTATCAGGTAAATTACCTCTTACAAAAGAATCAGTTTTATTTACATATAAATCATTATTGGAAGAATTAGCTAGCCTATTTACATTAAAGGAATAATGGGTCTAAAATAGAGTTTAATTAGTATAATTAGTATCCTTGTTGTAAAACTTTAATAGTAACATGGTGAAAAAAAAATCTAATTTGAGGTGGGTATAAGCCATGATTCAAATAAGTCAAGGTGGAGGCTTTATAAGATGCCTCTGCTAATGCTCTCCCTCCTTCTGAATCAAGCTTAGTTGCTTCAACGCTTTCAGGTAAAATAACTGTATCTTTAGAGAAACCAGATTGATCATTATGTATATCAAAAGAATGACAGGCCTTTAATAGTGTTGAATTAGTATTAACTATGTTAACTACTATGTTGAACCAATTTCAACTAACATTTCAACTAACCTGAAGTGGCTTTAACACAGTATTTTCAGGAGGGCCAAGCGCTTCACAACTATAAGCCAACATACATATCTTTAATAGCACTAAATTAGTATAATAAGCCTTAATCAAAGCTATTTACACCAAAATTCCAATACCTACTATCATCGTTACAAGTATTAAAATTCATTACGATAGGAAAAATACTGTGTTACTCAAAAAAAAATCTTTTATATAGTAGTCGATCATGATCAGTTCACGTGAACATATATATTAGTCGATTATGATCAGTTTCACATAAACATATTTATAAGACTTTTTTTTTGAAAAAAATTAAGTGGTTATAGTTAACCATTTACTATTATGATTAACTATAACCACTTGTTCAAGATATAATAATTCTTAATAAATTTGATAAATAGTATTTTGATTTCTTTAAGTTTATCTTTTGATAAAATTTGATTATGACATAACTTTGTTATATTAACAAAATTTAACCATCCATTTATATATCTATAAATTTAATAAAGTTTAATAATTATTTATAATAACAATTTTTAAATTTATAAATTATTAAAACTATTACTTTTCTGGAAGATATTTATGCAAAAGTGAAATTGAATACAAAATTATCTAATTATACTACTCCTCAGCTTTAATAATAATTATTTATAATAACAATTTTTAAATTTATAAATTATTAAAACTATTAATTTTCTAGAAGACATTATGCAAAAGTGGAATTGAATACAAAATTATCGAATTACACTACTCCTTAGTTTTAAAAAATAAATAATATTTTTGAATATTAATAAGAGGTCTACCAAAATCTGTTGGCATTGTTTTCTTATTATATTCAATTATT